AACAACAAAAAAACACAAAAAACAACAACAAACAAACAAAAACAACAACAACAATAATAACAACAACAACAACAACAACAACAATTAACAACAAAAAACCAACGCAAAACAAAACAAACAAAAACAAACGGGAAATCTGTGTCCTTTCTTAGAATCTGAATCGTTGGGTCCGAGTTCGTTGAATTTGAGTTCCACTGCATGAAAGTGAAAGATGCCATTACGAAATCACATATATATCTCATATCGCCCACTTCACCTCGCTCCCGGTGTAGCCTCCTGTAATTTTCTTTGTTTCGCTTCGCGCCTCCTTCACTTACCCGCTTTGTGGCAAAAAATAAAATAAATAAATAAATAAATTGTTTTAAAAAATATTTATAAATCATCGCTACTCTACGCAACGATGAATCGCTTCACATTCACTGTATTAGGTTCGCTAATGATATGTAACGATACAATTTTTTTTAGAGATTTAAAAAAATAAAATAATTAGTAACATTTGGAAAATTAAAAAAAAACAACACCCCTCCCAAAAAACAAAATAAAACAACAACAAACAAACAAAAAACAAAAACGGACGATCGTTTACAGCTACATCGTATAGCCCACAAATTAAACGAGTGGACGATGGATTAATTATTGGAGACTCGATCGAGAAATCCGGAGGATCGGGAGAAGGCCTAGGGAAAGGGCCATGATTTCAGGAGTCGCCTGATATTTTTTTGCATGATCTAGGTAATATTTCTGATCAAATACGCCACCACGGATGTATTCGATGATGAATGTGATTTTTAAAAATGTTATAGTTAAAATACAGTGAAAAAAAATCACCCTTTATTTTTCTCGTGTAACCATTGATGGATCAGATAGATAATAGATCTAGATCTAGTAAAAATGATTTTAAGAAACAAGATGCGGTAAAAATAACATTGAAATAAAAGAACCATCCTTCTGACGTGTGTTTTATCGATTTGACGTGTGTGTCTGCAGAGTCAATCACTGAAATGATGTGGAAAAAGAATGTATTGAAATAAAATCCCCCAAATCATCCTGGGTTCTTTGTTTTATATATTTGACTTGTGTCTGCACTTTTTGTAAGAAGAGGTCTGAAAATAAACTGTGATTTTATGGGGGGAAAAAACAACAAAGCACTCGGCATAAACTCAGATCTGGCCTCGGCTTTTGCGATCTCAAAATTAATGAAATTGAAGTCCGTAAAATGCCGTGCAACTCCTTACTATTCCAGGACCCTTTCCCATGTCCAACTAAAATCACCCAAAGAGATCCAAATTGGCAAAATAACTACCAACATGGCTACCGGAAGTTTAGTAGTGTAAATTTTCAACGCCGATGCTTGAGGATCGTTTATCAGTGCTAAAGGTAGGTGATGCATTGCGGAAATTAAAATCTCATATTTTTGCACCTAGATTCTATATTACATACTTCCTTTTTTCAGCTGGAAATAGTTAAACTGTGTTCTTAAACTCGAGCATCTTAGTCTAAGACATCAGTCTTAGTCTTAGTCTGAGTCTCGGCACTCTTATAATACAGTCAACCAAGTCTGTTATAGGTCTGCCCAAGACCAAGACAGTCAAGAGCGGTGAACGTACACAAGAACATGTGTCTTACAAGTATGAGTGAATTTGAGTGATACACATACACATGACACTCACAGACTAGATCTACACACCCACCATCTTGTCTTGAACTTGAACACGCACTACACTTCACACGCATGTGCAGGCTCTCTACCTACTCTCTGCATTTTACTTTTAAGTGACAGTACTGTCTTTAGGCTAATACGGGGTGCCCACTATGGCTGGATCGGGCCAATCGCCCGACTCGATTGCCTGAAACTGAAAACAAACACGTTTGTTTTTGAGGTGATCGAGTTGGGCGATCGGCCGATCCCAGCCGTAGTGGGCAGGGGTGTCTATTGCGTGTGGGAGGGGGCTGGGTTGGTTTGCTAGCCAGATTGAGGGTGCAAAGCTGTTATCGTGGCACAAGCTGGTCGTGCCTGACTCTTCCCCTGAAAACAACTCGTTAGCTTTCAGATTCAGGTGATCGACTCGACCTGACCTGATCCCATCCGCAATGATGGGCACCAAATATTACAGTACAGTCTTACGCTCAGTAGGTAGGCTAGATCTAGATTCTAGGTCTGTAATATTGTAGGGCCCTTTTCTTGTTCATATTTATCAGTTTTATTTTTCGACTACTCTAGATATCTAGATCTAGATCTACATGACATGAATATTGACTTACTTTATAATCATAATGTCTGTTACAAATTAATAATTGGTATTGTTTTGGCAACCTCTGTTCTCATGCCAGGTGAGAATAGCGCAGTTGTAGGTCTGTCAACTGGGGTGAGAGGACGAGCCTTTTTTTTGGACTCTTCTCATCTGGTGTGCGTTTACCGTGATACCGGGGGGCTCTCGTGGCCTAGAGGTTAAGGTGTTCGCCTCTCATTCAAAGGTCCCGGGTTCGAATCCGGGTAGCGACCAAAAAAATTTTCTTCTCTAATTTAGTCTCCTTTCACCTCCTTTCCTACTCTCTAGCAATGTTCTGTCGTCTGCTTTCGTGTCCTCTTTCTGCCCCCCACCCCTTCACCTCTTTTGCCCCCTCCTCTGGGCTCCTGATTCTTTCTGCAGCCTTTCTACTGCTACTCATTGGCTTCTTCTTACTGCTGTCTTTCAGCCACACCCCTGATCTTCTGGTAGGAAAGATCTACACCTAGCCTTCTCGGACAAGGGCAAAAAATCTCGGAGGTCCCGTGTGCAAGTTGTGCACGTTAAAGATCCCTTGGTGGTCTAAAACTGATAAGATTAAGAGTAGGCTTCGGCCGCCACCCGGGCAAAATTCAAAATTTCCTACCAGCTGAAAAAGTTTAGTGTGTCCCGCGCGCTCTTATGACCTTATGCAGTTGCGAGCGCCGTAAAACACTTACTAAAACAAACAAACAAAACCGTGATACCAGTGTAAACAAACGTTCCAGCGCTGTTGCTTTTCTTTTTCTGGAATGTTGAAGACAAAGTGTCATATTAAAACAAATAAATGGGTCACTGCCACTCAGCGTATGAGTCACACTTCTTACAGAAGTTCATGTTGACGTCCATTGTTATGGACTGGGTAAAGACGTTTTAGTTTCATCTCTTTTTATTTTAATTTGTGTGTGAGTTGAGGACAAGACTTATACTAATATTAAATAGTATAGAATTTATGACGTTTCACATGTCTTCCTTACCTGAAAATTTGTTACAACAGACTCATCAACTTAGGTAAACAGTGGGAGGGACTTATATATCAAGTGTTATTTGAGAAAATGTAAAGGCCGCGGCTGCGTTAGACATGTTATCATATGCTATAGAAAAAAACACAAGGGGGGAATGGAAAGTAGTCATATTTATATAGGTGGCCGTCATGTCAGGTTCGACTGTATTTGATGGTTCTTATTTGCACATATTTAGACTTTACCTAATTACGTAGTAATTTTATGCGCTTTAGACCTTGCCATCGGCAAAATGGGAACATGTTGTGAAACAATGCTCCCATCGTCATCATTACTCCAATGATGAAGAAACTGAAAAGCTTGGAAAGGAGGAATAAAGTAAGCTGTAAAGTAAAGGTTTATATGTTTTTATTTTTTTCTCCTAATTAAGAGCAAAAGATATGTCAGGGGAACCAGGGGGAAGTTGGGGGGGGGGGATGTGAGATGATTGATCAAAAGTTAGGTGGGGCTTAGCGGAGGATGAAAGTTTGAGAACTCAACTTCAGTACTTGACTGTCTTGCTTTTAGACTTGGAGTGTCCTCATTAACAGGCACAATTTGACAAGACATACACAAAGTTATGATTGTGCCTGACTGAGAGCCAGATAACCGCAGACTGACCAATATTGACTTGATGGACGGTATTTACGTTGTCAGTCACTGAATATTTTCATCAATAACCTTGTTCTTAGTTGTTTAAAAAAAAATATGTTGTCTTTTTTTTTGCCTACTTTTTTCATCAATAACCTTGGTCTTAGTTGTTTTTTTAAAAATATGTTTTTGTCTTTTCCCCCCTTTTTTAGAGACTCTAAGCCAAGTGTTCTGGTTGCTACACTTGTGTCAAGATGGATGTAAGTTTACTGCTATTGTGTAATATTTACTGATTCTCTTATCTTGCATTCTTAGCATGTGTTTTAAATGAATTAGATGAGTGAAAAACAGGTCAAAGAGTCACAAAGTATAATTTTTAATTAATCCAGACCCAGATGGTTATTTGATTGGATGAACAATCTCAACTCAAGCATTTATATTAAGAAATTGAGCACATCTCTTAGGTTCTGTTCAAATAGCAACGTGCCATGCTTATATTTATTTGTGTTTCCTTTCAAGTGTATCAAGACTTGCACTGAATTTTCCTTTTCAAACTGTTGTCTTGACTGCTAATAATTAATATGAGTGTGCATCAAGTTCTATCGCTGAATTGCTATAAAACATTTCTTGAATATGTTTAGGAAGTTGCTCAAAAAAAAAAGGGTGGTACCTCTGAAGTCTTAGTTAATGGACCGAGGCTCATATAAATAATCGTGGCTAAGGTGATTCAAGGGTGTCATTGGTAGGTCCTACTACTTGACTTTCTCTCTGTTGTTTCTGTCTGTCTATTTTACTTTTCCCTTAGCTCTGAATGATTGCTATTGTGTTGATGTGCTTCTATTTACTCAAACAAACAGGTTATCAATCTGCAATGTCAGTGATACTTCTTTTCGACATTGGTAAATGAGAGGTTTCCTAGAGCAAGACACATTTTGCAGAAGAAAATATGGCACTTCATTTCAGTACATCTATCAACAATGCTGTAAAGCTATTTCAGTTTAAACTGTGATGCTATACACGACAATAGACTTTTATATGTGTACGTCACTGTAAATGAAAACTCCTCATACGGGTCTGTAAAGTTTTATTTTTTTTTTAGTTGGCAAAATGTTGCGATTGTTGCTGATTCTGCTGAAGCACTGCTGTCCTCTTGTTATAAATTTAGAAATTTGAAAAATGCTTTATTCAGCTACTTAGATTTGTACCTATGCTTTGAAGTTACTTTAGGGGGCCCTAAAGAAACATTTTTTTCCTCTTTTTTACAGGGGGGACCTGACAATCCAGGTTCTAGGGTATGTTTCCTTTTTTTTTAAACCTCTCAATGATCAAATATTTAATCTTCTCTGTAACTTTTCTTAATTAAAAAAAAAATGTGTTCATAACTGTTACTGATGAAAAAAATCACAGGATTTTTACTTATTTTGGACAGAGAATAGAATTCTTTCTTTTTGAAAATTGAAATATAATGTATACCATGTTTGAATACCTGAAATCATGGCAGTATGTTGATAGGCTGAAAATATTTTAAACTATTTGACTGTCTTGTCTGTGCCCCAGCTCTTTTCTTCTAAGTGGTGAAGTCTTCCTTATTCTTTGCTTTTCTCTTTTAGCTTATTGTGTCCTATATTTAAAATAAGGTTCCAGAATGTATCTGTTGTAAAAACTCTACCACATAAGTTTTCAGGTGCTTTTGATGCCCCATGGATCTGATGGTCTTGTTAATTTGCTTCACGTGTATGACTTGATAGTTCAAGGCATGCCTTCATTCTTTGTTAATCCTGCTTGTTATATTTTGCCTGTCTTGCTTTTTCCTTTCACTGAATGATTGTTATTACTTCAATAAACTTCTCTTTTACTCATGGCTCAAAACCCTGTCCCGTAACAGACCCCAAAAAACTGCAGATATTCCCCTTAACTCTCGTTCATTCTACGTCAATAACAAAAGTCCTATCTCTTTAGCGAGACGATGACCACCCCCCTTGGCAGCAGATGTCAATGCAACGGGATCAGGGGGAGGGTGGCATGCAAGGACAACAGGATATCAGTGAGGACCTCATGATGAAAGTTCGGCAGCACCAGCAGTTGCTGGATATGGAGAAGAAAAGGGAAGCTCAGCAGAAGGTGAAATATGTCTTTATTGTTCGTCTCTTTTTTAGGGGGGGGGGGGGGGGCACAAGACCAGGAAAAATGATTCCGTTCATTATTCATTTTTATGTTTGTTGTACTTTTAATGTAAAATTTTGAGAGAGTAGCGTGAACGAAAACGAATTTTAACTTTTTTTTTGGTCATTTTTTTCACAGAGGAATTTGTATCTTTGAACATACGGTAAAAGATTATTTCAATCCACTTTTTTGTACAGATTATAATAACTTGGAATTTCTTATTTTATCAACATCTAAAAATTCACAAACTGCCTGGTTAATAACAGCAATCACTGAACTCAAATGTTTTTGAAGGGATTCTACAGGAAACTGAATTACTTGTATGCAAGTTGTAATTGTTTTTTCGTGTTGTGGCTATTGTCTGTAACATGAAACTATTTGCAACAGGGTTTTACATTGCACTACAAAGTTCAATTCCCCCATGGCAAACATTATGTCTTGTGTCTCCTGCTTTATACCAGAATAAATCCCTTATTGCCTGAGATGACCGTGAGTGGCAGGGTAAAAAAAAAAAGCAGTTAGCCTCATAAATTATCTTAATCTTTCTGTTCTCATTTTTCTTTACTTAAGTAGTATAAGTTTAAGGCCAAGGCTTTGGTCTTCTTTCAAAATGACGTTTTAGTAGATTTGTGTCTTGTAGGATGTTATAATTCCCAAATGACAAGGAAATAACCATCTCTTCTGGTTTGCTTTCAGCTGATGGAGCAGCAGCAGTTGGCAATGTTGGAGGCGCAAAGGAATGAGCAGCAGAGGATTCTGCCCCCTGGCTCAGGTATCTTGTTGTTCATGATCAATTTTTTTCTTTGATGGCAATAATCGCAGGTGTCTGAAAATGGTGTTTTGGAGTGTTCTGTTTTTTCAATGAAAGTATACAAAGTCTGTTAGCCAGCATTTTTTATACAAGGAGTTTTGTATTTTCACTCTATATCTCAAATTAGATGTTTTTTCTGTTATTTTTATATAAATTTTATGAAGAATAGAAATGCAGTTGGCGGGGGGGGGAGAGCTCTCGTGGTCTATAGGTTGCGGTGTTCGTCTCTCATTCAATATGTCACAGGTTCGAATGGGCATAGGGAGGGAAAATTTTCTTCTTTAACATTTTCTGCTTTCACATCCTATCCTGCTCTCTGACAATGTTCTATCATCTGCTTTTGTCTTCACTTTCTGCCCCCACCACTTCACCTTCTTTTCCCCCTCCTCTGGGCTCCTGACTCTTTCTGCAGCCTCTGCTTCTCCTTGACTCCTTCTTACTGCTGTCTTTCAGCCACACCCTTGATCTTATAGTAGGTAAGATCTACTCCTAGGCCTCTTGGACTAGTTGTGCACGTTAAAGATCCCTTGGTGGTCCAAAATTGATAAAAGAAGGCTTCGGCCACCACTCGGGCAAAATTCAAATTTCCTACCCACTGAAAATATTTGGTATGTCTTGGGTGCTCATATGACCTTATGAAGTTGCAAGCGCCGCAAAACACTTAAACTGGAAATCAATTCAAAAAAAGAAATGCCGTCCTCATAATGTGGAGCAGATGGATGGAAGACGCCACTGGTTCATCATTCTTCTTTATTTTTTGTCTGTTGTCTCTATTAGTTTGGTTTTTGGCCTGCAGTAAGTCAAGTGATAGGGAAAACTTTGTTTCTTTACTCAAACGATTATGGCATTTTGGATGTTTTTTTATCGACAGGTCAGTCCTTAGCACCTGCAGGACTGCCGACCACTCCGTCCATCAGAAGCTCCGGCGTGAGCATGGTTTCTGCCCCCCTCAGACCCCCTGGCATGGGGAATCAGCCTCCACAGGGGTCTATGCCCAACCAGCAACAACAAATGATGCAAGGTAAATGGACCTGCATTTTGGAAATCCTTATAGAATTCTCTGTGGCTAGACATGAAATGTGGGGCTTGAAGACCTGAAAAATATGGACATTTAAAAAATTAATTGTGAAACTTGACTACAATGGTGATGACACAGGATTCGAAGTGGAACCTCCCATGGGTGCATTTTTGGAACTAGTGTGGTAGAAAATCTTACATGCAGATGTCTTCAGATGTCTAGGTTTTACAGCGTTTTTTTTTTTAATGTTGAAAGTGATTAGTCTGATGATTGAACTCGGTTAAGAAAACATATGCTTCAACCACAACCATGATGTCTTATATTCCAAGTGGCTGGTTTTCCTCGTCCAGAATTTGCTTTCATTCTCAAAATACTTATGACCAACTGAGGTGGTTCTTGGTTGGTTTCAGTGTTTACATTGTTATCACCTGATATTTAGTTTGCTGATGTGCTGGGTTTTGAGACCTCTCACTACCGAGTGTGAGCTCAGAAGGGTCTGGTACTCTAATGTGACTGTTGATGCTGCCAATGATATCATTTGATTGTGAAAAGTAAGTTGCCATGGGAATAATGTAATGTTTGTCAGCTGCTTTTGATCTGTAAACTACAAACTTTATCTGTCCTAAAGAGGTTTGGGGTTTGATTCCAAATGAAGTCTGGCTAGTTTTCTTCTGCTTTCTTTGAACATGTACTATAGGATCGGTGTCGTGACAAGGGACAAAGTGTTTGGCCATTGAATGGGCAAACCTTGTGTTAAGTATTGCATGCATTGATTTTTCACCTCAAGTAATGTTTTGTTTTTTATTTTATAAATACAGGTGGCCCTCCTCCTCTGATGGGCCAACAGAATCCCCAAGGTGGGCCACCAGGATCTCAAGGTGGCCCCCCACCACCCCCTCACATATTGCAAGGAGGGCCCCAACACATGGGCCAGGGTGGACCCCCAAGACCCTTGCAGCAGATGGGTGACCGCCCTCCCATGCAGCAAGGAGGACCCCAGATGCCTCAGGGTGGCCCGCCAATGTCCCAGGGTGGGCCCATGATGTCTCAGGGGGGACCTCCAAGGCAGCAGGGTGGGCCCCAGATGTCGCAAGGTGGCCCTCAAATGTCCCAGGGTGGGCCACCCATGCAGCAAGGTGGACCCCCCATGCAGCAAGGCGGCCCGCCACGACAGATGCAGCAGATGGGAGACCGGCCCCCCATGGCCCAGGGAGGGCCTCAAATGTCGCAGGGTGGCCCACAGCGACCCATGCAGCAGATGGGGGACCGGCCTCCCATGTCGTCGCAAGGTGGCCCTCACATGCCCCCAGGCGGCCCGCAGATGTCGCAGGGTGGCCCCCCGATGTCCCAGGGGGGACCTCTCATGCAGCAGGGCGGGCCGCCTCAGATGTCTCAAGGTGGGCCGCCTCAGATGTCTCAAGGTGGGCCCCGTGGGATGCAGCAAGGTGGGCCACCTCACATGCAGCAGGGTGGGCCCCCTCAGATGCCTCAGGGAGGCCCCCGCGGAATGCAGCAAGGGGGGCCCCCGATGTCCCAAAGTGGGCCGCACGGCCCGCAGGGAGGACCTCCGGGCGGGCCCCCGATGTCGCAGGGAGGTCGGCCGATGCCCCACGGGGGACCGCCCATGTCCCAGCAGCACTCTGATCGTCCCCACCCCCACCCACCACCTCTTATGAGTCAGAACATGCGGCCACCGGGCCCTAACAAAGATGGGATGGGCCCCCCACCGCTTGGACCTCCGTCTGATGGTGGACCCAGGCCCAGGATGGCGCGGACTCCCTACAATGGTCCCAGCATTCCTCCTAATGTTGTGCCAAAGCCTGGTGTAAGTGTGTATACTCAACTTTATTGTTTTCTTCCTTTCAGAAAAGGGAAATGAAAAAAAGCTAAAAGTAAAAAATGGTTTTGTCATCTTGGGTGTTAGATTAGCTGTTTTGCTGTTGTTGTTGTTTTTCAGAGTTATATTGCACACCTCATAGTTTCATTTTGCTACCTTAGAATTACAAAGTTCTATCTGACATTTTTGGCTGTTTTGAGTTACTAAGACCATGAGGTCAGACACCAAATGTTCTATCTGCTCTTTCAAAATCGTAAGATTATTTAGAGTAGTTATCAAGATATTCAACGAATTGCATAAAAAAAACTTGGCATGTTGTGAAATTCCAAACTTTTGATGTAAAATTTCTCAAAACTAGGTACTGAACAGATAGAACTTTGTAATTCTATGGTAACGATTTACCTCTGCTTTGTATGATTTACCTCTGCTTTGTATATTTCACTTGAGGCTGTTTATTTTGGTGGGTTTTTTTCAATATGGTGATCTAAGCCATATCTTACTACTTATGGAATTCAGTATGGTTTTGGACTAGCTGAAGGAAAGTGATCAATCTCTTTTTCAAGCTGTTTATGAAATAACTAGATCTTTAGGAATGAGAACAGATTTGGGAAACTTCTGTCCTGAGCTTGTCATGAGTTTTCTCGTCCCCCCGCGTTCCCCTCCCACCCCCACCCCTTTTCCCCTTTTCTCCACACCAATATTGAATTCTTATAAAGTAACCTTTTCTGTTTCTTTTATTGTGTGCAGGGCCCGCCCCCATCTCAAGGTCCTAAGGAAATGCGACTGCCGCAAGCCCTGGAGAAGATGCTGGAGTTCAAGTCTCTAAGAGAAAGTGAAATTGGGGCTGAACTTGATGGGGAGAAAGAAGATGAAGGTGCGTACTTATGTGTTTTTCTTCATGGTGTGCCTACACTTGAGGGAGGTCAGGTAATTGAAATATCATGCCACTGTAAGGATTGAAAATCAGGGTATACATAAAGCTTACTGATAGTAGTTGCAATTGTAATTTTAGTGAGTGTCTTTAGGGTTTTAGGTTTATTGAAATGCATTGCGGTTTCTACATTTTCCAGAGATGATTTCCCAACTTTTTAAAATCAAACATGTGTAAAGTTATGTAAAAAAGATTCGATGTCATGGTTTTGAATTGCTAATAATTCTGTGTTGGGTGTTTTAAATGTGTCAGGATTTAAGTGAAATTGCCTAATTATTTTGTGTCGTGCTTGGTTTGTAATGATAATGACATTTTGCTTTGCTAATTCAGTCTAATCTGCTCAAGAAATAATGAAAGGGACTTATGCATTATGTGTCCATCCATATTACATTTTTTTTGTTTTTGTTTCATCGTTATATTCCTGTTCTCTGAAAATTTTGTCCAGGAAATGAAAGCTTGAGTATTTTACCTCTTCCAAGTATTCTTTTTGTCCATGTGTACCAGTAGCATGGAACCGACAGGACTTGTTTACTCACGTTGTGTCTAAATGCTATCTGCCCATGTTTTTTCTCTTGATCTTTATTCTGTGTCTTTCATTTTTTTTCCAGATGAGCAAGGCAGTGATGATGAGAAAAGGGGCACTAATGAGAATGATAAAGACGAAGTGAACGAAGAAGATGAAAATGAAGATGAGGAAGTTGGAACAATTTCAAAAGATCAGTCAAAAGAGGTAATTGCTTCTGTGTTACTTCTAGTTCTAAAGCACATAGAGTATGCTGTAGGGTATGGATATGGGTTATATAAATGCTTTTATTATGGTTATTTTCTTTCTTTTTCCTTTCTCTTCAGACATTTTACTCTACTGGTCTGCTGTTATGTGCGTTATTTTGTTATGCAGATTTAGTGATTGTCTTCTTTTAATAGCAAAGGTTTGTCGGCAAAATTTTAATTACTTTATGAGCAATACATACTGTGCTGGTGATTATATCAAATTGATATGTACTGTAGCTTGCTTAATGTCTTTTGGGTATTTACCACATTTAGTGTGTAAGGGACCCCCTGGGGCGGTGCTACTGACTGAAGTGTCTTTAGGCCATTCCCAAAGGGGGGGCATTAGCTTGTTATGCACAGTAGAATTGTAAATGGGCTGATTCACCAATGTCATGCTCATAACTCTACCTGAGCTGCAACAAGGAACTGCTGCTTTTTCTTTCTTAATCGTTCCTATCGTCATTTTTCCTCTACTTCTTTTGTATGTTTGTCACACTCTTGTGACCCGCTATTTCCAGGGTGCCTTGATAGTGGAAGCAGACTTTGTGCTGTTGGTGCTAGAGAGGTGAGCAGAGTAAGTCTGATTCCCTGTAAGGACTTCTCTGTTGACATCCGCCCCTTTGCGCTCATATTACCTTATGTAGTTGCAAGTGCTGTAAAACCTCTACTAAAACTATAACTAAGTGTGTCGGGGCAACATTTTGTCTACAACCCATTGCTTTCACATGGCCATAGTTATGGATTTTACTTCCCCTTAGCAGCAGACTTATTTTAAAAATGGGAGGGAAGGGGTTTAAAGTTCTGTTATAACATCATGTTCATTCAGGAGCCTTCATTAAAGATGATTTTTATTGTTTTGAGAACTTTGTACAAAATTGTTAGACCATTTTCTGTCTCAATTTTTTAAACTAACTTTTGAGATTGCCACGCTACCAGAATAAGAGACTGCTCATAGAAATAGTTTTCTGTTTAAGATTTACCAAGAATGATGTGGGGGGTTCTTCTTACTGTTACCAAAGATGCTGCACAGACTTGGAAAGTTGTGGAATGAGTGTGAAGAAACACAGAGCTTCAAATAAGCTTTTGTTATTCTTTTACCGAGAAGCCTTTGCATTGGTTGGAGGCGGAATCTTGATCACATTCCTTTTTTTTCTTCCAGACCAAAAATAAACGAAAGAAGAAGAAAAAGAAGAAGGCGAGGAGGAACAGGTTTGAACAACAGAAGAAACCCAAGAAGAAAGATAAGAAAAGCAAAGCATCCGATGTTGTGGTCGAGTGAGTTGAGACAAAACTTTCCTGTGTGTATCATTTTGTTGGTGGACGCTCCTAATCATATGGTTCTCAAGATTTTTTTTCCCCTGTTGGTTCGACCTTTTGTTTCTCACTCTCTTAAATTTTGGTTATTTTTCTGTGTAAGGTTTGCACTGTTGATGTGACTGTTCTTATTGTGCTGTCTGACTGTATGCAGGAGCTGGACCACCATTGCTGTTTTTTAATTATGTTTTACATTATAATTATCTGCAATTTTCTTTGATACCGGAAATGAATTGTATGAGGAAGGTCAGAATGAGTAATTATAATACTAAATAGAGTCTTTTTGTCAGATGTTCATCTTTGTTCAAGTTATAAAATTATTCGTTCTTCTTAGCTATGTTGTTTTAGGGTTTTAGGTTCAAAGCTCATATTATGGTAACACTTGAGCTGTGTAGTGAGGGAAACACAATAGTTTTTTCCCGCTGCTCTTAGGGGAAGCTGTAATAATAGTGTTGTTTCCATCCTCCTACCTTGGGCAGGTACATCCAAGAACAGCCAGAGCTGGACCCGACTGACCCGAATTATCACACTTTTGCCAGGATATTTGAAGCTTTCAAGGTAAGACACAGATTTAATAATCTGCAGGTATCTATCTGCACTGAGGCATGCTGTTTTTCTCTTCTGCTTAAGAGCCTGGCTTGATACCTAGGTCTCACAGTCATAGTCAGTCGTCTGTTGATGATTTTTTTCTTCTGGTTCTTCACTCACCAGATCCCACAGTAAATGAGATTTGGCTCAAAGTCTTTTTGGATGTGGATTAAACATTTGGTCGTTTGGAGGTTGCTCAAGTTAAAAAAACAATTGTGCAGTATGCAGTGAAAGATACAAGACCTACTGGAGCTGCCTGCTGGGATAAAATTCAGAATGAGTCGTTTTACAAGAAGGAAAATACCCAACTGTGTTTAAATAATTTATAATTTGTTACTTTTGAATACACTGGAAATGGTAGGAAAGTAGGCCATATCAGTTGAAAAATTATTTCACTGAGGATGTTTTAAACTACAGGTTACTTGATGACATGTTATGTGGCATTGGTAGCCAAGTGGTAAGGCTGCTGGGCTCTAATTGTGAGGTCGTGGGTCCGTGAGGTTTGAGCCGGAGGCCGACGTTGTGTCCCTGGGATGGACACTTTACTCGAATTTTCCTCGCCACATCCAGGTGTGAATGATTATCTGACCATAGACAGTGAGAGATCTTGTCAGTATAATATTTTAGCACCTGTAAAATGGCAGCTTGAACTGTATGCTTTCCAAAAAATTGAAATTGTTTCAGAATGCTTTCAGGCCTGCTTGGGTTATGATATAGATTGTAAAGACTTGCTGTTGAGTGGGAATTTGCACTAGACAAATGCTATCTATCATCATAATTAATGTGCCATCATCACAGTGAGTTCAGCCAAAAAAAATGTCTGTTTTGGAGATGGAGAGGAGAAATGAAATTTTTTATTTATTCAGCTCTTATGAACAGGAAGTAAAAAACTTATGAGTTGGTATCATGTACCGGTTTTATGATTGACTTAATGAAACAATGTATTATAATCCCTCTCTCTTGTTTCTTGCTCTTTTTTGTAGATCACTGAACCAGAAAAACCGAAGGAAGTAAAAGTAGAGGAGGCCGAAGAAGTCAAGCCGAAAGAAGAACCCCCAATGAAAGTCAAGGGGCTGTTGGATGATGATGATGACGATGACGACGATGTGAGCAAATTGTGACTTTTTATCTTTGGCCGCTATATTAGTTTTACTTAAGATTTCACTTTGCATGATGTGTAGCTTTTCTGCTTTGGCATAGTTGTTGGGCAAAAGTATGTTTTCCGGACCAGTTTATGGTACATTTCTACCTTTTACTGGCAACGAAGTTTTATGCTTTCTTATGCACTTTCTATTCAATGTGGAAATGAATAATGAGAGTGAGATGATAAATTCTGCAAAATGGCTGGGTCTTTGTATGGCAGTGTTGATGTGTTTGTATTTTTTTTCTTCTCCTTCACAGTTAATGGCAAATGATGATGATGGCCCAAAAATTTCCAAGAAGAAACTTAAAAAGCTGACGAGGTTGACAGTTGCTCAACTTAAACAGGTAATATTTCCATCTCTTTTTTTTTCAGTACCTGAGAGTAGCTTTGACTTCGTTTAAAAGTAATAGTTTGTTGTACAACTGTTTAGACGAAGTTCCTGAAGGCATATTTTAAAGATTTTTAATTATGTTACTTTTTCTTGAGAGCTCTCTATCCTTGTGATACTCTTTGAATTTCTTTTTGTTTGATTAACATTTAGGCACTTGGTTCTTGAAGCCAACTCAAAAGTATTAAGCTCTTGTAAATCCACAAGCTGTCTCAATTCAGCCTTCATGTTTGCAAAATCCAGATTACACCTCTTCACAGTATCCCCTGAACTTGTTAACTGAAAATGATGTGTCAATATTATAGTTTCTTGTGCTTTTGAAAAGGAAGAGATACTATGTACAACTTTTTTTTTTTAATTTGATATTTTGCACGCAAAGCAAGGTCAGCATTATTATCAAAAGTCTGGAAAGCAAGCAACATCTCACTGCGCACCAAGATTCGACTTTAACTCCAACTGTGCTCCTCTATGGCTGCGAAACTTGGAAGACAACAAAGACAGTACTGAATGAAGTCCAGACTTTCATAAACAGATGTATGAGGAGTATTCTAAGAATTAAGTGGCAGGATAGAATTTAAAAATGAAGAGCTGTGGGAAAGGACAGGACAAAAGTGATATAGAAGTAGAAATAGGACTGAGAAAGTGGCGATGGATGGGACACACCTTCAGAAAGCCCAGCGGAAACATCGCAGGGCAGTCGCTGCAGTGGAACCCACAGGGAGCACGAGGCAGGGGTAGGCCACTGGAAACATGGAGGAGATGCTTGGAAAGGGACATGAGAGAGATGAAGCTCAATTGGAATGAGCTTGGAAGAATGGCTCAGGACAGAGAAAATGGAAGGAGCTTGTATGTGGCCTCTATCCTGCCAGGGGTGAAAGACATTGATAATGATGCTGATTTTGAACGCCCCCTTCCCTCCTCATTGAAGTCTAAATAGGATTTATTTTCTTTGTGCTCTTTTCAAACTTTCATCAAAATTGTAAATTATAGCTTGTTTTGATTAGGAGGCATTCATTTAAACCTGATACCTTTTACTTTCATCCCCAGCTGGTGACCAGACCTGATGTGGTTGAGATGCATGATGTCACGGCCAGAGATCCCAGGTTGTTGGTGCATTTAAAGGTGAGCAGTCCATCTAGTTTAGCTTAGCGGTCTGTATAATAGTTGCTGATCCTTTGAGAATGGCATATATTGCTGCTATCGTGAGAAAAAGGTTTAACTTTAATTTTTTTACTCAGCCTGTAAAGAAGGGTATGGCGGAGTTACTTCTCTTTCTTTTTGCAGCAGCTATATTGCTTTTTAGAAAGGCAAGGGCAGCGTATTTTCTATCTTGCCAGAATGACATGTGACCATATCAGTTCCACTGCACTTTCATAGTGTCCAGTTGATTGTCTTTAGATCTAGCAGGGGAACATGGTTATGGAGAATTTAATCCTTTTCAGTATGATCACAAACATTTTGAAGTGCTTCTGTCTTGTGGTTTAGTAAGGTATTATTGGAGTATTGGAAATGGTTTAACTGGGTAGGTCTCGGTGTCTGCATGTTTTATGAGGGGGGTATTGTAAAGATTCTTGTCGAGTGGTGTTAGTCTTGGTGTGCTTGTCAAGTGATTGTGTGTGAGAGAAGACGAAGCTATTTTGATGTAGCTGTGGTAAATTTTCTCTCTACTTATCTCCGCTGTTGAAGGAAAAATAACTACATCCTCATTTTTTTAAAAAATTCACTCTACAATAGGTCGTTATTCATTAAAAAGAAGTGTTGGATGAGAAATAAAGCATGTTTCTTGATTTTTTCACATTTTTGTTAAGATAGCCTTTAACCACTTCAGTGGCTTTTTGATGTAGGCTACCTCGTAGGTCATGGAATTGCACAATTTTTCACTTCTTGTCGTACCAGGGAATGCGGAACGCTGTGTATTAAAAGGGTTAATGCTTACTTAAGTTTTTATTGGGATTCAGAAGTAAAGGTGATTTACTTATTTTTCTTCTTTTGAACAGGCTACCAGAAATTCGGTGCCGGTGCCACGTCACTGGTGCTACAAACGAAAGTACCTGCAGGGTAAAAGAGGTATAGAGAAGACACCGTTTGAACTTCCAGACTTCATCAAAGCCACAGGTATTGAGGAAATGAGAGCAGCTCTGCAGGAGAAGGTAATTTTGGAATAAACGTTATCGCTTACTGTTGTTTAAAAGAGAAAGTAGTATTTTTCAGTTTTCAGTAGCTTTAAATGGCTGATTATGGGAATCCACTTGAAGGTCCCGACTATTTTACTGTTCCTTTGTTGTTGCTATTCATGTGCCTTACTCTGTTGTAGTACTGAGTGACCAAAATTTAGGACAATGTTTAGCTACTTTACTTTTAAGAAAAGGTCACCTGATTAAAAGTTTATTTTGGGTCATCAACCGAAATGGAATTAACAGTTTGCTGGTTTTTCTATGAAAAGCTGTGAAGCATGATGACTAATATTCATGTCTGTTTGTCGTCGGCGGGTGCTCTGGTGTGGTTTGCTCCTTCTTTCCTATCAAACATCTATCGTCCTTATCTCCCCTTCTTTTTTAAAAATGTTTGTTACTCTCTTGTAACACCTCTAATCTTCTGGTGCTCATATGACCTTATGCAGTTGCGAGCGCCTTAAAACCTCTACTAAAACTAAAACTAATTCATGTCTTTTTGTTTTCGTTTTCCAGGAAGACCAGAAGACACTCAAGTCCAAAATGAGGGAAAAAGTGCGGCCCAAGATGGGAAAGATTGACATCGACTACCAGAAACTTCACGACGCTTTCTTCAGGTTTCAGACCAAACCCAAAATGACTGTCCATGGAGATTTGTACTATGAGGTATTGGCAAACTTGGAGAAAAAATTTGTTCTGTTTTTTTTTATACCAGCATCTTCACATCTTATTCTATGCATTGTTTTTGTGTTGTTGTTTTTGTCCTGTAAATGATAGTCATTTTAAAGTTGGATTATTTTGTTTGGGTCTAATCTATCAAAAGAAACATAGAATATTATTTGTGTTCAGATATCTCATTTGGTCATTAAGAGCTAGCTTCGTGAATTTTTTCTCTTTCTTTTTTTAAGGACTTTTTTGTATTTGTCTTATCATCAAAGTGTTTTGGTTTGTTTCACTGCCTGTTTTTGGTGGATTTATTGCAGTTGTGTGTGTAGTCTTCACTTTCAGTATATTTATTGCCAGCTGTCTCACCTCAATTTTTCTGTGTATTTTCAGGCTAAGGAATTTGAAACAAAACTACGGGAGAAGAAGCCTGGCAACTTGAGTGACGACTTGAAAATGGCTCTGGGGATGCCAGTTGGCAGTGTAAGTTTGTTGCAACCTCATATATATCTGTGAGAATTTTGTCTCCTTATTTCTCCTGACTATCATGATGATTTCACTCTTTTGACTGACACTTTTGTTTTTTGTCCTCCTGTAGATGTAGACTTTGTGAGCCATGTGTTGGGTTGTTAAGTGTAGTTTCTGATAAAGCTAACCATTGGGAGTTCTTTGGCTAGATGTGTGGGTGAATGGCGGGTGCTCTGGTGGAGTTTTCTCTTTCTTCCCGATCAAACATCTATTGTCCTTAACTCCCCATCTTCTTTTTTTTTTGTATGTTACTGTTTACTCTCTTGTAACACCCCTAATTTTCAGCACTTATATCACTTATTTGTTTTAGAAGTGCTTTAAAATTAACTAAAACTAGAAACTTAAGATTAGGAGGTAGAGGTATTGAGGAATCATTGACTAAGGGTGTAAGACCAAGTCACAATTGGGTGATATTCATTGCACTATTTGCTGTTTTTATCTGAAAGACTTAACTCAAAGAAATGTTGATGTGACTTAGAAAAAATAAAGCCGAGAATGAATCATTTGCGAAAAATTCACTTGCTCCTGTTCTGATCAACTTTGCTTTTTTAATTTCTCTAATTGTATAAGGACTAGATAAAAGAAGGAAGGGATGGAGTTCCATAAAGTTTACCTTAAATATATTTAAGAGTTCTGAACTTGGAATGCTAATCTTATTATTGGTCACTGATCAAGCAATATATTTTGATTCCATTGTTTCTCCAGAACTCTGAGAAAGTTCCTCCACCATGGTTGATTGCCATGCAGCGGTACGGGCCACCCCCGTCATACCCCAACCTCAAGGTGGCTGGTCTTAATGCTCCCATTCCTGAGGTAAGTCCTTTGAAGCTTGTGCACATCTATACCTTTTTTTGTCCCGTCAAAAAGGTAAATGTTTATTTTGTTCATTTATTTTATAGTCATGAGTTTCAGCTGCAGTCGAACCTGCTCTAATGGCCACCTGTGTAAGACAATACTTCCCAATTTCCCCTTTTGCATTCTTATACCATTATAATGGGTGGCTGTCTTGGACACTGTCGACTGTATTTCACTTTTTTATGACCTGCTTTTTGTGTCTAGAAGAGTTTGAAGCTCTCACAATAAAGAGTCCTCACTTTATTTTCAGTTTTCTGTATTTGCCTCCGAGAAAGGAGTGTAAATTTATCAATATGCTTTCCGACATATAAATGGTAAGGGTAGATAATATTTGTAAGAAGTTAAGTACCTTCGTGACAGCGACCAATCTTCGGTGCTAACTGTCCTGAGTTTCCCTGGACTCCCAGGTCTAGCAGTCAGATGGTGGAGAGTCTTAAACACATACGCTATACCAAACCAGTTCCGCCCGGTGTAATTTTGTTTGTTTCTGTGTAGTCTATTGTTACAACATTGTTTGTTCCTGATTGGGTTTTGAAAAATTTGGCATGCTTGTACATAACAGGTTCTTTCCACTTTCAGCCCCATGTCATTAGTTTGTGTTTCTAGTTTCTGAAGGAACATGGATTGTGTTTTTCCACTTTGGTGTGGCCATAGTGTTATATGACGTTTGCTTTGTAGGGACAAAAGAAAGATGTGGTCCGTGTGCAAAAATTGTCAAGAGTAGGCTTCGGCTGCCACTCGGGCAAAATTCATAATTTCCTTCCACCTGAAAATGTGTCCCATGTGCTCATATGACCTTATACAGTTGCGAGCGCAGTAAAACACCAAAAAAAAAAAAAAAGGTGTTGCTTATTTTCTGACAGGGCTGTATGTTTGGCTACCATGCCGGAGGCTGGGGAAAACCGCCGGTGGATGAACATGGGAAGCCTTTGTATGGAGACGTATTTGGAACGCAGAATGCTGATTATAAGGTATGTGCTTCTGTGGATATGGTATAGACTTAGCAGCAGTTTGAACCCTGTGTCATTGTTTATTCTTTCTGTACCAGTCCATGGTATATCTTTTATATTTTTTTATCTTTCCCCACAAAACAGAACTTTTTTTTTTCTTCCTAAATAAGTAGACCCATTCTGTGTATTTATGTTTTATGCAGAACACCGTATTTCTGTACTTTTATTTTTGTCCAGGTTTTTAGCATAAAGCACGATTGCATTTGAGGACCAGAAGAGACTAGTGCCGGGCTTGGCTTCTCTCCCCAACTCCACATTCCACATGTTGTATCGATAACACACTGCCCTGTCACAATTGTTGGACCCTTCCCCTCAGGGCATTGAGAAAAGTTACAGACGGGACTTTCATTTAATGTCCATCTGTGATAGAACAAGTTTTTAGACATGAAAATCCACAAAGCAACCCAAGTTGCACTCCACATCAAATGATTGTAAGATATCTCAAGTTGACCATGTTGTCCCAATTTTAGATCAGGAACTGAGTGACATTATTGTGGGTTTTTTTTTTAGGGAGGCAGTGTTTTGAATTTTGAAGCAATGTACTTTTATGAATAAAAAATTAGGAAAATAAGCTTTCAAATCACAACAAACATGATAGGTCCATTTTTTTGTTAACTACCAGAGTTCACAGTGTGTTATTTTTTCTCCAGAAGACATATTTCCTGGACTTGATCGTTGAAGGGTACCTCGAAAAATAGCACCCAGAACTTTTTTTCTTTACTTGCACTTTGTGTCATGAGTTCTCAGATAGAAAAATTGATGAAAGAAAATATGGATTCAAATTTCATAGAAAGTCAATATTTCATGGCTTTTGTATTATCCCAGTCAATGGCTGGACTTGTTCAACCTGGTTTGCCGGGCGGTCACGCTTATAGAAGCATGTGGTATGAACATAGCAAAGTATGGTGACACGATTGTATGTATGTGGTGTATCTATTGTTAAATGGGTATTTATTTAGCTATGTCTTCTGACTTGTAGAGATGGTTGGTTGGCTGTCTGATGTGGTCTGGTATACTACTTCTACTATTTTCCCCATTTGTATATGTCCTAATCTTACTGTAGGCTTCATTTCAGCTTGTTCTTGTCACTGTTGATTGTGAAAGCTTTCAAGTCCACATTTTAGAATATAATGTTGTAGCAATTCACTCTTTGAATTAAGTCAAGTTGATGCTGGACATTTTGTAATCTGTTTGCTTTCCTCATTTCAGGCTGAGGTTGAGGAAGACGAAATAGACAGGACAGTGTGGGGTGAGCTGGAGTCTGAGTCAGAATCAGAGGAGGAATCAGAAGAGGAAGAAGAGGAGGATGAGAAGGATGAGACGGGCCTGATTACTCCAGCGGAAGGGTGAGTGTCAATGATGTCCATGTATGGTAGATTTGGGGTTTTTTTTTTTTCTCAGTTAAAACAAAGTTGTTGTCTCAGGTGTTCGTCGTTTTTTGTTTTTTGTTTTCTCCGTGGACAGCTCATTGCTATTGTTTTACTAACATTTTTCATACACATCTTTTAAAGAATTTTTTTTTAAATGTTGATAATAAAAGTAAAATTATTTTCTTTACATTTCATGTTTTGCAAGTTGAAAATGTTCCAAATTTGACGATTGTATGCTATCAATCATAAAAATCATACCAATTTGACCCAACAATATTGTTATAGCTGATATGATGCACATGGGAATAGTAATGAGGGAAAATGGATGAGTGGTAGTCTACTCATTGAGTGGGTAATTGTAATTTTATAGGTGCAATGCCCTTGCAAACTAAACTTATTTAAGAGGCGGGACCTCCTAATTTAACTTCCATCACCGATAGTACTAAGCCACATTCACTTGAGAAAATTAGTATAAATGCCTTTCCCAAGCACACAACACTGGATGGAGCGGAGCCTCAAAGCCCCCAAACCTATAATCTCACAATTATGAGTCCTGTAGCTTAACCACTAGACTACCGACACCACTGAGTCATTGAATATGCTGTTGTTGTTATCAGTCCAACAACAGGTGGGCTTTCGTCCTTCTGTCCAATACCATGTAGTGATATGTGCAGGTTTGGTGCATTTACAGTAACGTTCTAAAGAGTGTGTTGTTAATGTTGTTATCAATCAAACAATAGATGGATTTTTGTCTTTGCAGAGTGTGTTTGTCAGTGTTATGGCTTGGAGTCATTGAGTAAAACCAGATGAAGAGCACATGGGAAAAATGGGCATAGTCATAAATTGGAAATTGTGAAGGTGTCAATTTTAAATGCTTGTGGACTCGTATAACTTCATTATTGTTTGACTGGTGGTTTATTGTTATTCTTGTTGAATGGGAAATCAAACAACAATGATCAACCAACAGTTGAACAGAAATACAGTTATGAGTCAACAAGCGTTTAAAATTGATACCCTCATGATTTTTAGTTTGTTGCTATGCCTGTTTGTCCCCTGTGCTCTTCAGATGTTATTTTTTATTTTTGCTGTTGACAAGGTGGTTGGCGGGTGCTCTGGTGTGGTTTGCTTCTTCTTTCCTATCAAACATCTTCTTTTTTATGTTTGTTACTCTCTTGTAACACCTCTAAATTTTCTGGCGCTCATATGACCTTATGCAGTTGCGCGCACCGTAAAACCTCTACTAAAATTTTTTTTAAACCCCAAACTATTGACGTCTTTTGTGTCCCCCCCCTTCTCACAGCCTGATGACGCCGGGCGGCATCTCCTCCGTTCCCGTGGGCATGGAGACTCCGGACCAGATCGAGCTGCGTAAGCGTCGTATCGAGGATGCCATGGACCAAGGAGGAGACACGCCGGCTCTCTACCAGGTGTTGCCGGAGAAGAAGGCGGCCCCGGTGGGCGGGGCTATGATGGGGTCGGCGCACGTCTACGATATGACGGGGGTGAGTAGTGGTCTTTTTTTCACTTTCTATTGTCTGTGGAAACTTGTCATGAACAGGGATCAAAGTAAAACAAAAAACTTTTATAGATTTCTGGGATGGAGTAGAGAGAGAGGAGTTGGGGTGTGTAGTTACGGAAGAAACAGAAAATACTTTTGATTGAAAGAATTGGAAGTAAAAATTGCTAGATACAGTTTAACGGAAACCCATTTGTAGGAGATTAGATGTTTTTTTTTCTTTCTAACATGCTATGGTTTCACTTTTTAAGGTTAAATGTTAAACCTTTGTGAAGAAAGATTTCCCTTCCCTCTTATAGCTGGGGATGGCTTTTTCAGGCCTGTTGTGTTACAGGCACTTTGGGCTCTTACAGTTGTATGTCTATCTCTATTTATGCAGTTATTCCCCTTCCCTTGCAAACTCTTCCTGGTAAGTGTTGCAATTAATGGTTCAAGAACCAAAAGAGTTGAAAGTGAATCAATTTAGGGTTGGCTTTTCTTTCCCCAATGGCAGTGCAAGTGTTTGCACTGGTGTAATTATTATAATAATTCTATGAATCTAGCGCCTCAGAACCTGGTGACTGCATGCTGTCAATTTCTTTCTCCCAATGTAAGATCAGTGGAATCTGTCCAGATGACCACCCTTTGTCAGGGAGAAAAGTGGTTATCTTAGACAAGTCCTCTTGGACAGTGTCATTATAATATTTTTTTAAATGCAAGGGAGGGGTGGGCGGTGTTTGTTTGTACAGGTGACTCTTTAACAGGTGTTTGTTACAGTAGGTTCGTTTCTGGTCGTTAGGTGCTCTGGTGTGGTTTGCTCCTTCTTTCGTATCAAACAGCTATCACCTTTATATCTCTCCTCCTTTATTTTTTAAATTTCTTGTTACACCTCTAATCTTTATTGCTTATATCATCTTATTGTGTTTTTTAAGTGCTGTTAAACTATTAGGCCTACTTACCTAAAGAGTAGCTTCAGTGTATGATTTCTTCTGGGTTTTTTTCATTCGCCCCCCCAGGTCAACGCACCGAAGAAGCCTGGAGACAAAGTATCGACAGAGGCGGTCGAGGTGTCCTTGAACCCCGAGGAGCTTGACCTCGACACTGCGGCCATGCAGGCCAAGTACGAGCAGACGGTGCGTGAGCAGCAGTCACAGCTGGAGAAAGAGGACCTCAGTGATATGGTGGCAGCTCATGCAGCTAAACAGAGGGTGAGTCGGGCCGTTTCTCGGGGCTTTGGCTTTCTTTCTTTTGTAAATGCAGGATTTCCACAAAGTCTAGACACAAAGGAAATTTCTTAAATTATAATCAACGGCAGCGTTTAGTTGTTGCATCGGTCGGTTTCATGTGAATCTTGTCAAGTGCATCAACGTTTGTTGCGTAAATGGTTTAAATCATTTATTTGTATATGTTATTTGTTAATAGGCCTATTCTAAGTGAATAAAATGTTGTTGAACATTTTACGTATATTTCCTGAAATATACATTCTGCAAATGTGTCCAGACTTCAGGGACATCTTGTATTATACGTGCACCATCCTTTGACACAATACTGGTCAGACAAGACACAGTGTGCTTTGACCATGCTTGGTAAGGTTGTGGAATACATACCATAGATGGTTGTGCCTTAGTAGGCCTACTCCTCACGGTGTGATGGTTGAGACCAAAAGGTTTGGAGAGATTTTTCCTACTACCGTACTAGTGTCCTCATTTTTTAAATGCGTTTTACAGATAATTTGTTTGAGAGTGCCACTGGCAGGACCTACTTCTTTACTTTCCTTCGTCCGACTCTATTCCTTTTTTCCTGTGCTAATTGACCGTCATTGTGTCAGGGTGCTTCTTTGCACTTGTTGTGGGTGAATGGTAAGTGCTGTGGTGTGGTTTGCTCCTTCTTTCCTTTTATCATCTCTCATTCTTATTTCTCCTTCTTCTTTTTTGTGTTTATTACTCTCTAGCAACACCTCTAACCTTTGGCACTTAGTAAAACTCTTATTATAACTAAAATAATCTCCACTCTTCTAATTTGAAATAAATTCTATTGTGTCTCGGAAGTAAATTACATCTTTTTGGAATGTGGATAATGGTACAGGGAAAGTAAGGTGGTGGGTACTGCTTCATTGCTGCAGATGGAAAATATGAATCAGAAGTCAATTTTTATTCCTGGTTCTGCTCCATAATTTTCCGTAGAGAGGGGAGGTTATTTGTTTTATTTGTTCCCATCTTTCATGTGACAGTGGTGTGTAATGGCCATTTCTGTCTACGGTGAAGAAATAAAGATTTGTTTGTGGGTGGTTCGGGGGTGCTCTGTGTGTGGTTTGCTTCTTCTTTCCTATCAAACATCTATCGTCCTTATCTCTCCTCCTTCTTTTTTGTGTTTTTTACTCTCTTGTAACACCTCTAATGTTCGGCACTTATTTGACCGTATTATGTTGCAAGTGCCGTAAAACACTAAAACTGAAACTAAAGATTTGTTTTCTTGTTTTGTTTGTCCACAGAAACGCAAGAAGGCTCAACAAGACACCGGGAAAGGAGCAAAGAAATATAAAGACTTCAAGTTTTAATTCCATTGGTTTCACTGTTTCATCTCATAATGTATGTCTGGATGAGTTTATGGATGATGCTGTTTTCTTGTTAGAAGTGTTCGGAGGGTTGTGTGGGGGTTTTGTTCAGTTTGATCTGTTGGTAAAGGGGTTGCGCCGTAGGGTTCTATGTCAGAGGTTGGTCACTGTGGTGCCGTGGGTGTCAGAGGGTGCTTTAGAGGCTTTCTGTATTGCTTACTCTTTAATGGGAAGGAGTAAGACGGGGTGGCCTCTGCATTCTGTTGTTGTTGGTACAGATTGTTAAACTACTGTCCAGTCCTTTTATAACAGCCTCTGTTATAACAGGAACTTGGATATGACTGATAAATCAAATCTCCGTTTTTTTCCTCCATAAGAGCAAGTAATGTGAACTTGGCTATAACAGGGTTCTATTTGCGCAGACTCAAATATATATGATCCGTCAAATTATTAGAATTTATCTCTATCAAGACATTTCGCCTGTTTATATGATCGTTGCCTAAACACAAACTTTCAAACACATACACCCCGCCCCAAATAGTGATGGGGTCACAGATCGATTCATCTCAGTGTTAGCAAAACAGCCCACTAGGAAAGGATCTGGGGTAATCAAATATATATATTATGTATAGTAAGCTCAAGGTGCAATAGTATTGGTAGTTTCCCTTGATAATAGTTTTAACAGGACTCGCTTATAAGAGGGAAAAACTGGCGGTCCTGTCTGTCCTGTTATATCCGAGTTTGACTGTAGATAATTTTTTCTCTCTCTGTTGAATAGTGAAAAGTTTGGATGGCGGGTGATCTTATGTCCGCTTTGTAGGTGTTGATGAAAGGTAGCCTACTTGAGGTTGGTCTTTTCCCCTTTCCTATATCCTGTAGTATTTCTGTACCCCATTCCCTGCCACCCCAGTCACTCACACTGTGGAAAGATTTAATGTGTTTGTTTAACTTTTCTAAATATTTTAATGTAGGAAATTGAGAACAATGTAGCAGTGATCGCACTGCTGTCAATGTACAGAAGGTGTCATTAGTTGACGAATGAGACCATGCTTGTCTGCCTGGGGATGTCTTGTCTCATTGTTGGACGTGCAGATAGGTCTGAGTTCTCTACTTTCTAAATAGCATGAAGTAGGCCTATGTCCGATAGGATCTAAGACATATTAACTGTCCTTGGTCTGGAAAATAAAACAAGTGCTGTACTTCTGTTTTGGTCATTTAATTAATATTAATAATTTCCCGTTCTTCCATGAGGATGGATTCCTTTCTTTGGGGTGTGGGTGGTTGGCGGATGCTCTGGTGTGGTTGTCCTGATCTCTCCTCGTTCTGTTTTATGTTTGTTACTCTCTTGTAACACTTCTAATCTTCCGCACTTATATGACAAAATTGTGTTGTTAGTGCCGTAAAACTCTTACTAAAACTAAAACTTTCTTTAAGGTGGTGATTTTTACAGTTCAAGTCATTTCAGAATCTCCCTAGCTATGATTATGTATCAAAGATCAGTCATTCTCCCTCATGCTCACTTTTTATTGGTTCTCATGTTGGTTGTTTTTTTTTGGTCATGGTCAACAGCACATTGTCTGTGTGTTTTTTGTTCCCCTGTCAGCCCTCATTGTGTACAACAGTCGGTGTTCGTGTGTCCGTGAATTCAGACAGGAACTTCAGATTATGACGAACATTGTGACAAGTTATGGATCCAGTTGTTTTTTAAAGAAATAAAGATAATGGTTGTCTGTATCACTGAGTTTGAATTTTTGTGTTCACTTTGACCTTTCAGTGTAATGCCTTGCTGTACAAATTGAAATGTGATTGTTATTTATCACATATATAGGCCTACAGTTTCTTATCAAGAAAAAAAGATGACTTCGTGTATACCGTACTATGGGAATTATGATTTAGTATTTTACAAATGTTGTTGATGAACTCGGCGTCATGGCATTCTCCTTTTTTTACTTCTCTAAGAATGTAGATCGTCTTATAAGAAGAAACAAACCTTATTCGTCCTTTTTCTTTGGTGGTATTTTGTAAGTGTTTTACGGCACTCTCAACTGCATAAGGTCATTGAGCGTGCGGGACATACCTAATATTTTCAGTTGGTAGGAAGTTTTGAATTTTGCCTGGGTAGCAGCCGAAGCCTACTTTTATCGATTTTAGACCACCAAGAGATCTTTAACGTGCACAACTTGCACACGGGCTCTCCGAGATTTTTCGCCCTTGTCCGAGAAGGCTAGGTGTAGATCTTTCTTACCAGAAGATCAGGGGTGTGGCTGAAAGACAGAAGTAAGAAGGAGCCAATGAGTAGCAGTAGAAAGGCTGCAGAAAGAGTCTGGAGCCCAGAGGGGGCGAAGGAGGTGAGGGAGTGGGGGCTTAAAGAGGGGACAAAAGCAGGCGACAGAACATTGCTAGAGAGCAGAAAAGGAGGGGAAAGGAGAAAATTTTAGAGAAGAAAATTTTTCGGTCGCTACCGGGATTCGAACCTGGGACATTGGAATGAGAGGCTAACACCTTAACCTCTAGACCACGAGAGCCCCCATTCATTCTTTTAGAAAGTTTGTTTTATTATGGCATACATGTGCTCAAAGGCCAACATACAGTCAAACTTCATTTTACCACTCCCCGTTATACTGTCAGCCCGGCTTATCGCCAGATTTTTCCAATACGAAAAGGAGTTCCTATATATAAATATAAACATAGCATTTACTCTTTCACACTGCCATCTTCCAACTGTCTGTACTGTCCTTATTTAAATTTAACGGATATAAATTTGCTCCACCATTCCGCCTGCAAACTGGAGGTACACATTGCATTCATTATTCCAGAAAGTTTCTGGTCTGAACATGTATAGGAAGAGTTTTACAGTTATACGCTTGTCATCTGTCTGGAATTTTCTGGAACTGTCCTGGATTCAGCAGGTGGGTGGTTGACGGTTGCTCTGAGGTCTTTTTTTCGTATCAAACATCTATGGTAATAAATTACCTCTACTACTTTTTTTGTTGGTACATACAGTTCAGTCCATTTATTTTATAACAGGCTCTATTATTGTTATTACAGGAACTTGGATATAACGTTGGTAAATCTAATCTCCATTTTTTCTCTCTGTGCTATAAGTGTAATATTAACCTGGCTATATAACAGGGTTCGATTTGTTCAGACTCGGATACCGGTGATCTTGCAGCGAATGAACTTGCTTTAGATCCGTCAAATTATTAAAATTTGTCTCAACCAGGACGTTTCGACTCTTTGTATGATCGTTCGCCTAAGCACAAACTTTCAAACGCATAGTGACATACCCCCCCCCCCCCCCCTCAACCTCCATAGTGTTGGGGTCACTGATCGATTCCGTCTGAAGGTCAGCAAAACATTTCACTAGAAAAGTATCTGCGGTAATCGAATATTTAGTAAGCTCAAGGTGCAATGGTACTGATAGTTTCCCTTGATAACGGTTACAACAGGACTCGTTTATATAACAGGGAAAAACTGCGGTCCCGTCTTTCCTGTTATATCTGAGTTTGACTGTATGTTATTGTTAATCTCGACAAAGTGGGTGGTTGGCGGGTGATCTGGTGTGGTTTTCTTCTTCTTTCCTATCAAACATCTATCGTTCTTATCACCCCCTCTTTCTTTTTTATGTTTGTTACTCTCTTGTAACACCTAATCTTCTGGCGCTCATATAACCTTATGTAGTTGCGAGCGCCGTAAAACCTACTAAAACAAACAACTCTCTACAACTACAAACACCTCTAATCTTCGTCATTTACACATGACTTAATTGTGCCCCAAGTACAGTAGGGCTGGACAAGATCATCGGATTTGTAGACCCGGGTAACCTGTTAATTTCGAAGAGAAAGATAAAACTGTTTTTTGGGCCAGTTACAGTTACAAAGCCATTCCACCAAGCACTCTTCCCTTCTCTCTCTCTCTCTCTCTCTCTCTCTCTCTCTCTCTCTCTCTCTCTCTCTTCCCCTCTCTTGCACCACCCCCCACTTCTCTTTTTCCTCTCCTTCCTTCTCTTGTACATCCTCTCCACTCCCCCTCTCTCTTTCTCCGCGGTGTGTCTGTCTGTCTGTCTGTCTGTCTGTCTCTGTCTCTGTCTCTCTGTCTCTGTCTCTGTCTCTGTCTCTCTGTCTCTGTCTCTGTCTCTCTCTCTCTCTCTCTCTCTCTCTCTCTCTCTCTCTCTCTCTCTCTCTCCCCCTCTCTCTCTCTCTCGCCTCTTTCTCCTCTGCTGCAAATCCTCAATCCCAATCCTCCCGAGTGCCCGCATCACGACAGTGCGGGTCTGGCTGGGTACAAGATGCCGCACTCACACTACACTAAGAGTCCTGGCACGTCTCCTTCTTAACCCTATCCGCACGGCGTGTTTTACTATCGTATCCATATGACGTGGGGGAACTCTGTGCGACCACTTTCCAAAGAGGAAATTTACTCGTTAATCCGATCCGTACGCTTTGCATAGCAATCTGTCAAAATGATTTTTTAAAAAGAAAATACTGAAAAAGGTATTGGTACTAGCAGAAGTATTCTAAAATGTAAAGAATACAACCCCCGGGGGTACAAAATGTCCCCACGGGCTAGGGATAGGGTAAACTCTTTAAGGACAAAGCGACACATACACATGTATCCAATCAGCAGCAGACCAAAGGCAATGTTGCGGCATATTTCGAACCATCAGAAACAAATCAGAAACACGAATTTTCATTTTGATAGTTGTAATGGTACATTGTATTATGTTGGTGATTGCCTTTTTGGGTCTCGGATAATGATATGGTATGGTTTGCTCCTTTCCTATCAAACATCTACATGTATCTTCCTTGTCTCTCCTTTTTGTGTTTGTCACTTTATTGTAACACCACTGATCTTCGGCACTTCTATGACCTCATCGTATTGCAAGTGCTGTAAAAATCTTATTAAAAATGAAAACGCCGAATGACCAGAAAAAGAGTTAGCTCCCAAGAGTTAACCCAAACACAAACCCGCTTTCTTCTTCTACTTTTAACCCCACTCTACTCCCCCGTCCCACACCACACCCTCATTCCTCCCAGTCGCCGGTGTAAGATTTCTCACCCACTGGGATAATTAACACGGGGTCTCCGTCCTGAGTAGACACCGCCATGTCGTCTGCAAGTTTCTATCACACGATAGCCCGGATAACATCACACCTTGACGAGCCGAGGATTCGGTTCCTGCCGGGATATCGCTGCAGACATTAACACCTCATCTAGAGTATTTGAACAAGCGTCTTTCCACACCAGTAGTGAAGGCAGATGCATTGTCCTCGCCCCATCCAACCCTGCAGTGTTTTGTGCGTAGCCAGAGTCCTTCTGGCGACCAGCTCCCTCCTCCAACTGTTTACCGATTATTTTCTGTGAAAACGGAAGTATCCCCAGTCGTCTGCGGGCTGCAAAACGGCGGCGCCAGCCCGTGTTTCGTCTGCTAATATTGAATCATGTCATCACGAGCTGAGCGTCACTTCGGTTTTTTATATTTTAAAAAATGTCTACCCATGGTGCAAATATTTGCCGTCATTTCTCCTTATTCTGTTATGTGAAATTATTAGTATTAGATTTTAAATACGGGGGTGTATCTCAATTACACCAGAAAAGTAGTACCCCCCCCCCCGAAAAAAGAGAAATAAAGAAAAGTAGGGCTGCGTGGTCATGGGTGTAAATTTCTCAGCGTTGGGTCGTGAAAAGTATGGCATTTTAGAAGTACGTGCCCTAACTGTCCAGAGTTCGAATCCTAAAATCTCTTCTCTCCTGTAATATTGTCTTGACGGTGTTCCTCTTACTCTTTGTCAACCGAGAATGAAGTGTGAAATGGTACAGCCTTCGAAATGACCCACGCTTATTCTCTGTCTTGCAGGGCGGGGCGTTCAACCTTTAAAATAATAGGCCTATAATTTATACTATAAACCAGAAGTTTAAAAATAGAATTTGTAAAAAAAAACTTACAATGAAAGAACTCCTTCCTCCCAAAAAAACCTCAACGAAACAACAACAACAACACCCTCC